ATACGTGCATCTCCATGAAGGGTGCCGGTATGTGTTTTCTTTGGGACCCTCAGAGAAAAATTCCGTATTAAATTATTTAATTAAGTTGTGAACTTACCATTAATTTTTAACCATCAATATTCTTATTTATTTATCAATTTATTATTTTTTGGTCATTCCGGGAATTCCGGGTATTCCAAGTATTCCGGTTCCGGTTCCGACTCCGAATTCCGGCATTCCTTGTTTTCCAAACTACCCTTGTATCCCGTATCACGCCGACGTCAGGGGCTCGAGGGTTATCTAACAGTAATCATTGAATTTGAAGTTAGGAAATCAAGAGATTCTTCAATGCTTGATTTAATGAAAAAATTGCAACGTATTCTCTTTGATAACTGTAGTGCTATATTATAATTATTTCGTAGACGATTATTTGTGCGGAATCAACACGTAACCGGATTCACAATTACTGAAACAACTGTATCAAATCAATTCATCGGGATCAGTTTTCAATCTGGGCAGAACAGTATATCTATGCAAGTGAAAAAGGCTTCTAGAACAACTGTGACGCGGGAAAAAATTCTATAACCTCACCTGCTATGGGGATCCATAATCCAATAAAAACAAAATAATTTGGATATATCAACAAAGTTGAAATGGTAAAAACAAGTCAAGGGACAAATCACTCCTGGACCACTGCTTTGTCAACTAACTGCCTGCCTGGAAAAGTGACATGCAGTGAGTGGTCAACACAATCTGTAGCATCTACCACAGTCGTTGTAACTCCATCTGTGTGGTCCCTCAAGTCTATTTCAACTGTGTCCGTGATCTGCATCCTCTCAGATGAACAAGGAGGACACACAGATGGAATGGGTTTACAGTCATTGGTTGAAAATACCTGGGAACCTTGAAAACTTTATACTCTCAGAACTGGTTGTAAAATCCTTCCTCATTCCAACAATTAATTCTGCAACGTTGCATGATGGAATGTAATCCGGCACAGAATACTTCAAATTGAAAATAGAATACGAATTGGAAAAGGAAATAATTTCAGAATGAAACGGGAAATATGACCAGGAAGAAATGGGACGCAAGAAAAATGAACTTGAAATGAAGCGATTTGGAGAGTAAGGAGAGAAAGTAGTTAAGCCTTGAAAATAAGATTAATTTAGTTAAAAAGCTGAGATTTGCACGTGAGACAAACTTTGAACGGGAGAATACTCAGAGAAAACTGTAATATAATGGATGTTAAGAAGAAGCACCTTATCAAATATTGAAACACTGAATTGGGATTTGTCCTAAATTGCAGCAATTAAAAGATAAAAATAAAAGTAGTAACATTATTAGAAATTGTCACTAATCTTGCTCTTTTCTGTATTTTCATTTTAGAAGATTAAAGACGAAAATAAACCCTTTGATTTTTACACCGTTTTCTCAATTACTTTTACGTGGAGTGCTATTAACAAAATTTTAGAAAACACCTCGGGTTAACTCAAGTACTATCATTCAATCTTTACTCCTTCAACCGCCGCACTCGAATTTTCATTTCAACAACTGATTTTACAGTTTTTACTTGGCACCGTTGTTTTAAAACTCGCCTTTCGAGCAAAACTAAGCGAGTTCAGGAAAACCTAACACTGTGAATTGCTTCGATCATTTAAATCCTTATGTGAAAAGAGAACCGGAGGAACAGTCGGGAGTGAATTGGCTGATTGACTGAATTAAATTTTCACATGATGTGAAGATAATTTGGTTTTATCTTCTGCTAAACTGACTTTTCGGACGTTAGCTCTTCGTCAGGGCGAGGGGCTGACGCCTGAAACGCCACCTTTTGAAACCCTTTACTTTACAGTAGCCAAGTTACATTTTCATTCCAGTTGATAAAACTAAGTTATCTTGTATTACCTCCGACCGACGCAAAACCACAGTTTCTTCAGAAACTCCCCTTAATCAAATGTAGACATTGGTCACTGGGATCGATCGGTACATGTGACTCTTTTGTGGAAGGAAATGATAATCCTGAGCTTTATCTATCAAAGAAAACTCGTGTAACTCACTTGTCTTTTGTATATCTTTAATTTCAATCAGTCAAAACACCTTGCTGTCTCTTCTCGTAAAATGCTTTCTGATGTATATCGTTCGGAGGCAGAAAACTTAAAGGTATGTTATCAGATGCAGACGGTTGAAACCCAATAAACAAACGATCATCAAGTTACAATGCAAATATCATTTTAAACAGAGTTTTAAGCGACAGTAAGGCGTACCCTGTCTTCGTGCTTTTGATGATTTAGTTGTCAGCTACCTGTTTCACCTTCCGTACTCAATTTATTGTTTAATTCATTTACAGCCTAAGTATTTTCTGTATTTCTTTGCAAATGATTTAACTTTACCCATCACTATAGAAGCTGACCACGCCTGTTTTGTTCCTTTAGATCGGATCTGCTGGTGCAGTTTTTGGTTTTGTGGCTCTTGACCTTTTACTTAAGTTTAGTAATCAGCGTCGTTAACTTGTGACGGTAGCCTTTGTCGCTATCTTCTGCTATCTTTGGTTTTATACAATTTTTTAGTCGAATTTGAATGCGGTATTTCGGTTTCAATTAATTGTCCATTGTCCTCACTTTTCCTCCCCATCTGGATTCATCAACCTCCCATGTCCCGGCCCTGCTTAAAGAAGAGGCTCAACCAATAGAAACACGCCACGTACGCGGTAATGAACTGAAGTTTAAGTCCCTGAAACGGAAATATGCTCTGCAGTCGTTGCCGTCTTAGCATAGTGAGCATGGATTAAGGAAGGCGTTTGATCCAAGAAAATGTATTGATTTTTTTCCCTCTGTGGCATCCTCTTGGAGCGGTATTGAAAGGTTTCCTTCCTGGTACTACACTGTGTTCGAAGAAACGTTTATCAGAGGTGAGAACGTTTTTAAAGCTTAAAAAAGCTGCATTTCAGTTTCCACACGAGGTCCATCATGGTTTGAGTGATTTTCATATTTCGTTACCAATTTCCTCCGATTTTTCGCATGTTTGTCGTTAAATCCAAGTCGAAACGTATTTTTAACGATGTCATGGACTGAAGGATGTCAATTTTAACTTAAAATTCCATAAAGTAGCCGTGAATCTGCGCAGATCCGAAGCGTTTTGGACAAATTTTTCACGGCGACTTGTTTTCCCGCGCGCGGGTCCTTAGTAACAGAATACCTTCCCATAACTCCTTGCGCCGATAGTGATTCTCTTCAGAGAAATGGCGCCACAAAAAGGTTATTACTTTTTGTGTCGTTCTTCATATGTGTTACACCTAATCGATGTTTGCAGACTCTAACAATTCTGGCTACGGTACCACGAATTTCAGTTATTATCGTTAAATCTGTTTTTAATGTGTCACATGAATCCGGTCATGTGAGTCAGTTATTGTGCAAGTAGACTCGTGCAAGAGGACCTCGTTCGACCGATCGATGCGCGCTGTCGGTTGAGTCGGCAACGAAATGTTTCACACCACTTTGTGCTCGGAAGGCTGTGCTGTGGCACATCACGATGTGATCATTGCGATTCAAAGTCTTGCTCCGCGCATAAACTCGTCGCAGAATGCAACGATATTCAGTCCAACTCGAACCACCCGTGGTAATAACAAAGAAGATTTCAAGAAGCAGGTCGAAATATTAGTTTCCAGCGGCTGGAAGAAGAACAGGGACGTCCCAGATGATGGGAAAGAGTTGCAGTTGCCACTGCTTCACTTGGTGAGCATGTTTGGAAAGTACGAGGCGGTTGAATGGTTGTTAAACGAAGAAGACTTCGACGCAACGCTCAGAACCTCAACAACAAATGAAACTGCGCTGCATTTGGTTGCTCGTCATCTTTTCAAGGCACTGTCGGCTCGTGAATCAAGGCTGGAGAACATGAGTGCCACTGCTAAAGCGGCCAATTTTGAGAAAGTAGCTGTGCTACTTGTCAGGAAAGAGGTGAGCCTTTTCTGGGCAAAAGGTGGCTTGAATAGGGAGACAGCTCTTCATATTCTTGCAAATCAGCTGATTAAAGCTACTTTCCTGGATGTTGACTTAAAAGAAGAAGATCGGGGCTTGGTATTCTACTCAAAGAGTATTACTGCCATGTTTAAACTTCTACTTGCAGCAAAAGGCTTAACTACAAAGGATATTGTGAAAGCACTTGGCATTAGAAATGGTGAGGGCAGTAGCTCTTTACACATAATAGCCAGGGCAGGAATACATGGCTACAAACTGCTTAAATACCTGGCAAAGTCTCTGGGGTCCACTGATGTCATGAAAGTCATGGATAGTAAACATCTGACAGTGCTAGACATTGTGAATGAATTTTATCCTGGTCATGATAAGGAATTGCATGCTCTTTCCGAAGGTGAGCCTGTCATCATCAAATGTGTTGGCAACCAAACTTGTATGGTCAACATTGCAGCTCGATGTTGACTTAGTTTCCTTTTACATTTGTCCGCACCAAGATAAAGTTGAGATGGATAGTCTAATAAATGTTTTAACATGGGTGAAACATTCATGGGTTTTCTCTAGAAAATACCAAAAAAGAGAAAAATAAAAAACCTAAGTGATTTTGGCGAAACAACCCTTGTCAATGACAGTGTCATTAGGGTAGCCGAAAGCTGCCTTTGAGTACTTTTTCAAAGGAACAATGCAGAAGCAATGCCAGCAACTGGTCAGCCATATGAAACTAAGTACCAACACTTAACAATTATTGGATTCGGTTTTCACATGATAGTGATAATTATCAAGGCCAAAGTTTGTGTTTGAAATAAAAGCTAGCACTAAGAAGTCACGACATTTCGACCTCTCTGAGGTCATTTTCGAGTGAGTAAGTTTTCCAAATCAGCATAAATATGTTGAAGCAAGTTGAAGACGATAAAATGTGGCGAACACTAAAATATATGAAAGAGTGTAAACAATATACAGTGGAAGAGAATAAAATAATCGTAGCATGAATTGTTCTAAACAAATAGTTTGGTGTGAATTGAATCGCACTGTTTGTTTAGCGTTGGTTTCAGTTCTTTGATAAAAAAAAAATTTCAAAAACAAGGCAGTCAAATTTGTTCTGACACTTCCTTTAGATTCGAGAATTCTGTGTGATGTCTTTTGGCTCCAAGTCGTGCTGATCCCTGAGGTGGTGTCTGATTGCAGATCCTTTGTGTTCTTCAATTCATTGGTGTAAGTGTCGGCACATGTAACCGACATAGCCTGCATCACACAGGCCACACTGAAATGAATACACTGCGCATTGTTGACTCACAAGAGGTGGTTTGTCTTCCCTGACCTGAATTTCATTCTTGATCTTTTTACTTATATAAACTGTTTAGAACAATTCATGCCACGATTATTTTATTCTTTTATTCTTTTATTCTTTTATTCTTTTATTCTCTTCCATTGTATATTGTTTACACTCTTTCGCATATTTTAGCGTTCGCCACATTTTATCGTCTTCAACTTGCTTCAACATTTTTGTGCTGATTTGGAAAACTTACTCACTTGAAAATGACCTCAGAGAGGTCAAAACGTCATGACTTCTTAGCGCTAGCTTTTATTTCAAAGTCGATTTCTAAGAAACTACTTATTAAAAGTTTGTGTTATCTGCCAAAGTCAAAAGCTAAGGTGGATAACACAAACTGAGGCCTTGATAATTATCAGTATCATGCAAAAACCAAATCCAGTAATTGTTTTATTATGCATATTCATGAGCTGCACTTGTAAAGACAAGAGCACACAAAACTATTGTCTGTAGGTATGACATAAGAGAATGTATAATAATATGGCTCTATGTATAAAAGATGTCTTAGTAAAAGCCAACTTAAAAATAATTGTTTCAGAACTGACAGAAAGTCTACAACAGGGTCCTTATCAACCATTGTCCAGGAGTCTTTAGTTTGATTCCTGTTGATGCCTGAATTTTTCAAGGCTTTTTTCTGCCAGTGCTAAAATTGCAGTCCAGCAGCAAGAATCATTTCTTGGTTTGTACATCTTGCCAAGTAGTTATAATAGTCCTCACTCAAAATCCTAGTTTCCTCAACTGGAGTTGTACTGTGCAGTGGCTCTGATGTAGAAATAACAAAGAATCCAGCATCACGAGTAACATAACATTCCTTTTCTTATTTACTATAGGGAAAAGAAACACTATGGCCTTAGTTAGTACAACCCTAGCTGCAGATGACAGAACACCTCCAGCAACTGCACCAAGGCAAATTGTATACAACAAAGAAGCAGTGGAGCTGGTTGATTTCCTTCACACTCATAGCAAAGAAGCTTTGAAGCTGTGCCATGAACCAGTGCCATTAAACTGTGACTCAGCACAACAGGACAAGCGATGTGCAATACATACAAAATACTTTCCAGGCACATGTTCTCAAGAATGCTTTGATACAATGGCAGCAGTTGCTACCATTATCAACACCCACACTCCTCTTTGTCCAGCAGAATGCGATCTTCAGCATCACTTGCTTACATGTGCTGTCTTCCACCCCTCGGTGGTATTCCGCACAGTCCTCAATGCCAGCATTCCTCTGACATTCAAGTTGTGTTTACAGTCTTGCTTTAATGCAGGCTGGAAACAAGACATGGATGTTCCAGATCCCCTAGAGAGTCTACGTCTTCCATTACTTCACCTGATTTGCATGCGAGGAAACTTTTCAGCTGCAGAGAAACTTGCTCAAGAAATGGAGCTTAGACCTGTAGTCTCTTCAGGGAGAAATGAAACTCCTCTTCATGTTGCTGCAAGGTATTTCCCAATAACTTATCCTGACAAAATTATTGCAGATGACACATTCAAGTCAGTCATGAACTTTCTTGTCAAGCAGGACAAAGGAATCATTTTCAAAGTCAATGCTCAGAATGAGTCAGTGCTTCATGTTATTTGCCATAGCATAATTTCAGCTTTCAAAGTCCTCACAAGGCCAAGTGAAAATTCTTACCACCCCAGCTTGCAGCTCAAACAAAAGAACTGCTACATGAAAGGATTTAAACTTGTTCTTGACATGCTCTTAGATCTTCAGTCAGAGGACAAGGTTTGTAAAGGACTAATTTGCAAATTACTGGCTGTTAGGAATGATGCCAATAACACATTCATTGATGTTCTTCGTAAAGGCTCATCGAATGAAATTGTAGGCAGCCTTGTGTTGCATGTGAAGGAGGAATTCCCATTTTGTTTTGCTGATGGAAATTTTGATGTAGTCATCACAGAATGCCCATTGTCATGTCCATGCAATAGAAAAGCTGTCTTTACAAGGAACCTTGGCAGTCAAGTGAAGACTTCTCAGTTAGAAGGTTTGTTACCCTTTGTGAGGGAGCAGTCTGTTTTATGAACGTTCTGTAGTTGTGGTTTGTTTGTTGCATTAATTGTCTTCTGGAGGGTTCACACTTTTCAAAGGAGAAGAGAAAATTATTTGAATAAATAAATTACACTGTAGCTTAATTTTTTTTTTCTGTTTCTTTTGCATTCATTTGAGAATGACAAACTCTCACTGGGTAGTGGAGAAGACCAGACTACTTTAACTCTATACCTCCATAAGGTTAAGAGTTAAGACTATTAAAAAGTGTAAGTGTCTAATGGCAGTACCAACAATAACGCACACATGTTCAGACCATTTTAGGCAGATACCAAGGGTTTTACCAAGAACCTTAATGATGTTAACATGGTTAACAATCAATGTTCAACTACCTGCCATAGTCAATGTTTTGAATTCTAGCCCAAGACTATCACAACATGCCTTTCACATCATAACTGTACATGTTATTGAGTGAAGTTACACCTTAATGTCAGCATGCAAATTCTCCGTATTCTACTTACATAGGTAATTTGTCTAACAATGAACAGTTTCTTCAGTTTGTAATCAATTTATTCTCATGACCTTGATGTTTGATTCATGGGTAATAGTGCTGCAAGAAATTTGATGCTTATCACTTTTACAATTACAATTTACAATTACAATTTATCACTTATAGAGCGCTATTTACAATGACAGATCAACAGAGCTTTACAATCAATCTTAACCTGCCCATCCCACCCCAGGGGAGGACATCCATCACACAGTAATCTCAAGCATGGGAAATTAATGTCTCCTACCCCTAACCCTGTAGGAGACGGGACCTCCATTTATTCGTCCCTATCCGAGAAGACTAGAATATCTAACCATTTCTTGATGTTATAGAAAGGTAGCATATTCTTCTCAATTATTTTAAGACCTTGAGTGTTGGTCCGACCGGGGCTCGAACCCTCGACCTCCCGCACACCAGTCCAGTGCTCTATCCATTGAGCTAACTGAGAGGCGAACTTTTGAGGGCTAAAGAGTTTTTCAAGAGGGGTTAAGTAGTCAGCACTCAAGCTTTAAATGCTGTTATGGGTTTTCTGGAAAAGACAATTAAAACTAACAAGTATCTCCCACCCTGGAGTTGAATTGGGTATTTGCTAACTGTTGGGGAAATTTAACAGAGTACTGGGTGTTGACGAGCAATGGATCACATCTTTCCAGGGATAGGAGCAGTATTTTCTTAGGTACTACAAATGCTGGTGTGTGAGCTATTTCAATTGGGAGTATACTTTTTCTTATCAGTTCACTAATTTAAAAGATAGAGTACATGTAGATTTAATAAAACAAAGGGGAAATTGCTGTAGTTGTCTTATGGGTATGTTTTTTTTTGTTTGTTTTTTTTTCTAACTAACTCTCTCGCTGAAAAAGGAATTGCACTGAGAAAAACTGTGGTATCTTGTTTTGTTTTGTTTTTTTAAAGAAAAAAACTGTTGTGGTTTAACTGTTTTATTAATGTATATGATCAAAATTAGATGTTGATGCATATGTTTGACTAATTTTTAAACAGAAAATAAGAACAATTTGTGATTTTTGATGTTTTAATACAAAATGTATTACTTTTAACTAAAGGCGGAAATTCAAGCACAGGTCAAGAACCAGTGTCGTCTTCACAAATTCCATCACCAAATGTAGACCACAAGGCTACCAACCAGCCTCAGCCAGCTGCTTCAACCCAAACAGCACCAGCTACTAACAGTCAATCTTGCCATGTTATTCAACCCCCTCGGGCCTCTGGTCAACCAGTGCAAGTTGGTCGCATTCTGCCTGCGCAAGTTACTCGCAATCAACCTGCACAAGTCACCTACAATGAACCTGTTCAATATTCTCCCACCCAACCGCCCCAAATGCAAGATGTTCAAGCAGCTGCATCATCAAGAAAGCCCCAGGCACAGGTGCAAAGCATGCAAGTGCTTAGACAAGCTACAGCAAGCAGTTCCTCGCAGCAGACTTTCCCTGTGGCAAAACCCACTCACCATATTCCTGTGGTCATCATAAAACAGGAACCAGGCAGTGAAGAACACAACGCTGAGTGTTGTTATACCAGTAGTAGCCACTGTGGAGCTTACCCATCAAGACAGAATGCTGTAATAATTACATCAGACACCCCTGATGTTTCTACTGCAGTTCAGAATCCTTTAACAGCACAGACAGCCCAAGGTGGGGCTCAGCAAGGAAACCCACCTTTGTGTTGTTCTTCACCTCTGAAATCATCTCGGCAAATAAACCAGGCAGTAACAAATGGAACAGCAGCTCTTGATTCTTCGTTAAATGTCAGTACCCAAACAGCAGCTGTGCCACATCGACGAGGACGCGGTCGACCTTACCAAGCTGTAGAAAGCAGTACAGGTACAGCTGTGAGTCAAACAGCAACAAAGACATTGCCACAGTCTGAACAGCAGAAGATTACCTTAAAAGTTAAAGACAAAATTGTAGCAGAATCACTGGATAGTTTATCTGACACAGACTACAAGTTAGGTATGGAAGGTAGCATTTTTCATCCAATAAATAATAAGCATTTTTCCCTCCTTCCTCCTTCTGCACAGTGAGTGTTAATGGGTATAATGTTAATCTTCATAAACTGTACTTGCCTGGAATTCCAATAGCTTCACATTTAAATGTTTCACTAAAAGTGGAGCATGTAGGAAATTCAATAGCTTTACATTCAAATGTTGCACTAAAACTTAAGCAAGTAGGGCAAGACTACTTATCAGATAAGGCCTTAGCATACTAAAGTACAACGTTGTAACTTGTTTCCAGACATTGTACTTTTGTCATTCAAAATATTGAATCCTTCAATTCAATTGACTTGCAAGATATTTTATACTGATGGAGTTAAAGGGTAATTAGAAATTGTAAGTCAGCAATTGGGCCGAAGTGTTACTTTTTAATTGTTTTCCTCACAAGCCAGACCGCTCTCAGAATTCAAGACAAGCTTTAAACTGGGAGGGCTTGATAATGGAAATATAATTCTTTCAAGAACTAATTTCATGGAAGGAGACATTTACAATTATTTTGTCTTCTTTTTAAACCGTGTAAATTGTTTTCTTTCTCATATAGATTTATTTCACACACCATTTTGTGATGAAAATTGCTGTATTTCCCATCACCACCTCATCTTGACATTGTTGAGCACATCAAATAGAATGTGCGCCAATAGACGACCAGACAGTTTTTTGGCACTTTTGGAAAATACTAAAGTCAACTTCCTCAAATGTGTGAAGAAGAATCTCACACAGGGTCTTTGCAAGGATGATGATCTCCATGATGATTTGGATATTTTCCAGTACCCACTGATTCATGTAGCAGCACTGCTATTAAAGTACACTCCTGTAGACATGCTGAATTTTCTTGGATTTAAACTGAACTCCTGTTCCCAGAAAACTGGCGAGTTTCCTCTGCATGCAACTCTTCGTTACTGCTATGAAGCTGGTATGAAAGTTTACAGGTCACCTGGGTACTTTGAGAGGCTCTTTCCTAAAGTGTTTGAAAGTCTTTCAAAGGATATCAGTTTGTTTAAGCTACTGTCACAGCAAGATACGTATGGAGATACACCTCTACATGTTGCAGCCAAGAAGATTATTGAAAGACCAGGTCCCACCACAACATCAACACATGTAATAGTGTCACCAACTCCTGATTCAACTCAAGAATGTCACTCTTGCAGTTCCCAAACTCAACCAGCTACTCGGGTGTCTTTAGGCTGCAATCCACAAGCACGGATTACAACACTCCATCAACATAGAGCTAATTTTTACACAAGTTGTTTGGTTTATATTTTCTCAAAGCTCCGTGAAGTGGCCACAAAGAGTGATGAAGTCATCCTCAGTGTAGTGAAACCTGTACTCACAGTTAGAAACAAGGAAGGAGAAACATTTTTGCAAATCATGTGCAAAGAGCATCACATTGCTGTTAATGGTATAATTTCATTACTTGCCAATTTTCCCCTTCCTATGTTTTATAACTGCATTAAACAGTGTGTTCCAAGAGACTGTTGGCCTGACATTGTTAAGAACCAGCACCTCTATGAAGAGCAAGAGATCGACAGTGGGCACAATCAGAATGAACCCGTGTCCTCTCCCCTGGAAGTGTCCATGCCACCAGAGAAAGAAAGAGGTAACTTTACCAAAAGGGTTGTGTTTTTTCAGTTTTGAAAGAGTAAAACTGGTGATAACTGTGGGATGGTTGTTCATTTAACATTCCCAAATTGAATTGTAGTCTTAACTATTTAAGTAAGGAATAGCACCTAAGAACTCAGGAAAACTGTTCAAGAAAAAAATGTGAAAAATCAATCAACATGACCACATTGGGACTGGGATTGAAGATGTTCAACTTGATTCTAGACCACTCTTTTTGAGGCAAGCTCTTCACCGCTGCGCCATTCTTGCCCTGCTCATGATGTAATATTTGTGGTTTTCCTCTACAATATACATTGGGGAGGATTCTTTGAATGCCTTTGAATTCCAGGAAAGCTCCTATTTGGGTTTTGTATTTCTACCTGATTTTAGATAAACCAGAGTAAATTTGTAATATGGGAAAAAGTAATTTTTTTGGTTTGATATTGGATTGATTTAGTTTGCTCCTGAAAAAACGACTTGAAATCTAAAAGCTTCTAAGCACAAGCAGACAAAGTTCAATCTAATTTTACAACAATCTCTGATTTTTGCAAGACTCCTATCTTAATTTACTTAGAGTGAATATTGTTTTCAAATTTGTAGTAAAACAATATAATGACAATGAAAGTAGAGGCATGAAACGAGGTAAAGAAAACAGGCTTTGAAAACTGCAGTAGCTGGTTGAGTCAAGACTGTTTTGTCCTGTGTGATTATATCTTTTGATTCTTTGTGCAACAATATTATCAACTTTACTTTTTTTATGTCTGTTATTTTTACTAGGTGCACAACCTTCAAAACCAGAGTCACCAAAGCCATCTTCAGATGTTAGTTTGTCAGAAACAACTGTTACTGTCTCCCCTACAGCAGAGGTGACCATAGCTGAAGAGTCCATATCTGTTCCCTCTCCAGCCACACCCCAGCACAGCAGTGCGAGTGCAATATCACCAACTTTGGTTTCTTGTATTGGCAACTTTGACTCAGTTCTTACACCACTGGTGGCAAACCCTGTACACACCACACTGAGACCAACAACCAAACGGAAGATCATTGAAGTATTAAAGGAAGAGTACACGGAGAGATTAGCATTGGCTGTGAAGGGGAGGTGTGAAGTCGAGGAGGACATCTCTAAGCACAAGTCAAAGACAAAGGAACTCACAGAGTCTATTGCCAAGAAAAAGGCTGAATTGGAAAAGTTGGAAAAAGAAGTACAGGAGATGCAAAAAGAAATGTGGCACAAGAATCAAGCCATTCAAGCTCTGGAGAACAGCCTTGAGCAGTTTTCAAAAGAAGAGGCTGAACTAGAAAAGAATCTCCATGTCCTTCAAGAGGCAGATCTTGAGCCACCAGCCAAGATGAGAAGAATTGAGGAAAGTAGCTGTTCTGAATAGAAGAATGAATGGAAAAGAAAATGGAAAAACTTTAAATAAAGATAGTCTTACAGTTATTCTTATGTCAAATAACTTCACATCAGTAGGCCTTGTGCCTCACAGTCAATTTTCTCAAAAAGAAAGCATCAATTCTGCTGCAATTTATGCTTGGTTTGGAATTAAAAGATCTTGATCTCCATGTTTCTGTTAAAAGTACAACTCTTACAAGATCTCTTCACCAGCCGGATGCTCCCCAATATATTGATAGGATTATTTTTAAAAGCTTGTGGAGGGATAAGATATTGTGTATGTGTTTCACATGCCCCCTTGATTTCATGCTTGGCAAATCAGTGGTGAGGTTAGATTTGAAATAAAATGGGTTATGACACCGGCCATAGGACCTTGACAGTTATATTCTATGGGATACTGAGCAAACTAATTTAAAATTTAATTCTGTGACATGCAAACCAGCTGTTAGTCTAGGTCAGATATTACATTATTGTTGGTAATATGAGATTTTTCATATTTTAAAAAATCCAGAAAGCTTATTTAGGATTTAGTCTGGATGATGATAGTAGTAATTTTTAATCCAATTGATGACTTTATTTTTAGTGTTGTTTTGAGCCTTGCCCTTTAAAGACCCTGATGGAATTTTGACATGTTCTACATTTTATGGATAAATTCCTCTTTGTATAGCTTTAAACAAAAGATTCTGTGAAAATGCCTAAGCATTGACAAAAGTTAGGACTTCACACATTTCTTCATCTGGTGGGTGATACTTTGACATATGGAATAGTAAGGTGTGAAGAACCAGTTTCTAGTTTGGCTGGAATCCTAAGGTGTCAAGAAACAATTGTTATGCTGGTAAACTGTTTCTCAGTTAACTGCTAACATTTGGTTCAAGTATTAGTCAACATTCATGCTATGTGTTTTTCAGTGTATGTTCCCAGAGGTTTGAAAATGGAAAAGTAAATTGTTATCTAGGAGGATTGTAAAATACATTTTAGATGATGACAACTTGTGTGGTTGCCTCTTACTTGGTTTGCAGTTATAGGGTTGTACAAAAGGGAAGTTGTGTTGTTAACCATTTATGTGAGTGGACACACTTCTCGCCATCCTTAGAGTTATGCACCAATCAATTTGAAGCTTCAACATTCCCTCCCCCAAAACCATAGACATTTTACTATTGTTCATATGTGGGGTTGGGGAATTTGAACTGGAAGTGTCAAGTCCTTTCAGGGGAATATAAGAATTTTATCTTTAAATATGGAGATTTTTTTAAAAAAGTAAATAGTCAACCATCTTTGGATACCTTAGGGGGGGCCCCCAAGCGTTCCTTTCATTCCATATGCTTTCAAATTTATTTGTTTTTTGCAATGAAAGTGTGAAAATGTGAAAGAAAGAATGTAAAATGTTAAAGCCTTTTAATCTTGAACATAAAACTCCCAGATTTGTGGAACAATTATCCGAGATAAAGTTATTGAAGGGTTTACACTTTAGGAATTGAATCACGGTCCCTAAGACCAGGTGGCACCCACATTTGGATTCAGGAGGGGATGGCAATATGGTACCACCAACAATTTAGCCCAGTGATCGACTTTATCACTGGAAAATATCGATGTAAACTCTTTTCATCCTCTTGGCAATTTTTATCACGGACGCATACTGTAAGTTTATGCTTCAATTCTCGGAAGATAAAGGGACCTTTTCCGCCACTACCTCTAGGCACCTTTTTCAAGCGCGCGTGCGGAACCCTCCTCCAAACTATTGTGTTCCCTGTCAATTGTCATTCAGTATGATTGCAACAAATAACAACTTGGAGGTAATTTTTTCATTGCATCTGATTTTATTGGTGTGATGAACGACGAGACGAAGTGTCACACGCCGTTTTGTCGTAAAGATTGCCCTGTGGTTCATCATGATTTGATCAAAGCGTTATGTATTGAGAGGAACCGTAGGGAAACCTCCAGTCGCTTTTCTTCAAAGTCGCACGTCCTCTTACGACAGTGCGTTCAATTGTACGAACAAAATGGTTGGGATCGAAACAGCGCCGTGCCAGATTCATTACCGGATCTAAGACACCCACTGCTGTATTTAACCTGTGCATTCGGCAAACATCGAGTTTTAGAGACGCTGGTGAAGTTAGATTTTAACCCTGCAGTTGTTACAACGGATGGGGCAAACGGGCTTCATGCCCTGGTCGACCATTTTTATCGCGTGGGTAACATGAAACAATGTGGTGGGTTCATGGCGATTGACAAAAGACTAGAAGTGTTTGAAAACGTAGTGAGTATTCTTTGTTCCCGTGACCCTAATATCTTCTCTACCAGAGAAAACATACATGGACGTACTCCGTTGCACATGGCTGCCGAAAGTGTAGTCTGTACGAGTAGACATGCCAGAGTGGATGGAAGATGCGATCCTTTGAAAAGGACTAGATACTTTCAACGCTGTTTGGAGGTTATGCTCGGCCACATTCTTGAGCTTAGAAGTAACTCTTTGCTGACGGATTTTCAAGTGATGAACACCGTTTCAAGTCAGGATAATGAGGGTGACACTATTTTGCACATCCTTGCAAAGAGCCGTACCCTTCCAGGCTGGGAATCTATTCAGTATCTCCTAAAAAATTTCACAGATAGTGAATTCTCTGAGATAAAGAATAAGGACTCCAAAACGGCCTTTGACATATTGTCACAGTTCAACGGATTTATGGCGAAAAGGCTGTTTTACCCCAGTGATGTCGAGGAGAAAATGGAAGAAGGTAATTAATGAATTTGAACAAATAAAATGTAAGATCATCTTGATAGTAACAGTTACTGCAACTGTAATTTGCTAGCTACTTCAAATTTTTTTCTTTTCCAATGACGCTGACCTTACCGTGCTCTCTATGAACTCTAGGTGAAATTTGATCGGTGCGAATAATATTTAGTAGATCAAAAAATGGGGAAAATATGGTGAAATCAAGAATTTCTGTCAGTAAATTTAAAAATTAAGTTTTTAATTTACTTGATAATTCTTCAGGGATGAGGTTTTTGGACCATTTAATTCCCCTGTAATCTAGCCACAATCTTTTCCCAATCATTTATGCTTTACCTGATAAATGGTCCAAGATGCCAAGAAACCTCCAGTTGTATAGTAACTCAATTCTAACATTGAGATACTTGGCTGGTGGAATAGGGAACATAAGGTTAGAAGTAGGTCAGAGCTAAAGTTATCAATTTTATTCAATAGACTGGTTTTTCCTATCTGATTTTAAAGGTGGCAAAACATTTTTCTCAGCTGTTATTTCAAAATTTTATAACGTACAGGGATTTTGTCCCTGAGTTGTAACTTTAAATATCAACAACCAATGTAACACAATACTTTCAACAGATGTTAATGGCTGCTCTTCACCAACAAATTGTGATCCTTCACTAAGCCTTGAAGCCTCAGATCTCACTAGGATTGCAAAATCCCCACCCTGTACTAATGACATAACTGTTCAAGCTGTGTGGAGTGAGGCCCCTCAAGCAGCTGGATTTCCATCTAAAGGGATGCAGAAAGTCACTCCAGTCAGGTCATTGGAGTCTGTTGTTCTTTCGTTACATAACACAGCAAAATCTCCAGCTACTTCTGCTCTAAAGACTCTCACAAGAAGCCCAAGTTCTACCCAGAATGAGCTCTCTGTACTTTTACCAAATGCTTCCTTGGTTAATGGAAAGTCAAAAGATCTTGTGGGGTTAGAATTAGGATCAGAATTTGGAGAGGAAAATACTACAGGTTTTGTTGACAGTGAAAAAATTTCACTTGGATCAGGTGAGGTGCCAACCGAAATATCTGGAAATGTTCAGGAGGACTTCGAATCAAGACGTTTCTCTGGTGATGAACCATACCCTGTTTTCTTGCCTAATTTTTCACAATCTGAAGTGGAGTGCAGGGAATCTGAAGTAGCAAAACAGGAGGTTGGAGAAACATATTCCTCGTGTTGTCTGCCATCATTATTTCAATCCAATTTAGAACGGGAGAATTCTGTTGGTACATCACCCTCAACTCCAGATTCTTGGATGCCAGGCAGTGAGAGTGAAGCCACTGCCTCCTCCAGTACACCTTGTGTCACATCACTGGCTGGTTCTAGTCTGCAGTCACCATCACATGAACACTTAGACTCTACTACAACAAGGAAACAGAACTGTCAAGTCACAGCTGACAGTGCAGAAGACAAACGGCCAGTCGGAAATGCATCTTCCTCAGGGGATAGTGCCTTTTTTGACTTTCTCTTGACACAAGGAAATGATTTCAACCCAACCATGAAATTACAGATTGTCGAATTGATTAAGGGCGAGTTTGGAAAAAAGATGTCAGGCTTTAATAGGGAGATGTTCAAGATGGAAACAGAAAAGAAAAAGTTGGAGGCAGAAATTCAGAACTCCAAACTGAAATTGCAACAAAAAGAGGAAGAGAGACGCAGATTGTTTGCAGAGATTGAAAAACTTCAGAGGAACATTGTCCAAGCAACAGAAAAACACAAAGAACTGTCAGAGAAATGCATGAAGCTGAAAGAAGATTCTGAAGTTGTAAAGCGAAAGATTTCCTCTTGTGAAGAGGTAGAGAAGGAACTTTTTGGTACCCCTGCTAAGATGCAAAAGTTGTTAGATAGTAAATATTAGATGGATAAATTTTATCGTCTATAAAACAAAGAACATAGTGGACAAGCAAACTTGCTTTGTTACCACATTTGCTTCAAATGTTATTTCCTTCTTGAGGTGAGAGCAAAAATTCTGGAGATGGTTTCTAGTAACTAATCTGTCACTGTATCAGCTGTTTCTATGGAGACTGATTCAAGAGAATGCTTAATCAGTTTTTTTTTTTTTTTTTGCATTCCTTGTTAAAATGTCGCAATTATGTTTAAGATTTCTTCTCAAAATACAATTTTAAGTAAGCTCAGCCAATTTTCTACCAGTTGTGAGGGGAGATCTGAAGTGTTTATTAGGTTCATTAGAAGTCTTCCCCTTATTTTTATTCGGATGAGAAGCTTCTGGGTTGGGACTAGATGGGTAACTGCATTTTCAAGATAAAGTCCTCTTTTGGGTCAAGCGTACCATCCCCCCCCCCCAACCCTTAATCTTGGAATTTTTGGAAGGGAGGAGCCCTTTGTTCATTTCCTACTCAAACCCATCAGCATTTTCATGGGAAAACCGCTGTTTGATTTATTGAATAACAATTTTAAGTTAGTACGATTAGCTTTCATTCTTTGTCAAACTTTGAATACCTTGAAGTTTGAAAATCAATATGAATTATTAATCAATGCGTGGACTAGTCATGTTAATGAAATGTTATTGCAAATAGGTTGATATTGACTATTTATGAAATACTTTTGATTATATTTGAAAATAGTAGAGCTGATTGTAAATGAAATTTCCATCTTTGCTGTTTAACATGGCTAAAATATATTTATACAATAAGCCTATTTACATCCCTATGCATAATATATAAGAGTTTGTATATTTTTGTCACTGATAAAAATAATGTCAAAATTAAGGAGACCTTATTATCCCTATTGGTTATTTGAATAATGTATGTTTATAAAGGAAGAGTAGGTCTCAAAACAGCGGCAAATAATCATTTGAGTTACTGTTATTTCATTGAACACTAAAGGAATTGATCATGGAATCATCAGAGGGCAGTCTAAATAAGTTCTTCCCTCCCTAAAGATCTACTATTACACTGTCCCCTTGCACCACTGGGAAACCCAACCCTTAGTTTATGCTGCCTCGAATTTTGATCATGAAGGTAATTCTATACTTGGCTGATAATTAGTGTTTGGAATCATGAATTCTGCAACTACCCTTTCAGTCAAAAACCTTTGATTAATGTGGATAAGCTACTGCTATCATAGAAAGCAAGCTTTTGACTGGTAGAAGGTAATAAAAAGAGCATTTTTGTTTTTTCAGTTGGTTTGTTTAGATTTGTTTATCTTTGTTTGATTACCTGTTATGCCTTGTGGCAAGGATGTAACTAAACCGGGAGGGGTACACTGGGATCCTAAGGTGCACCTGATCCCTCTCCTGAAAGGGGTGTACTTCAAGTTCAATAAAATGGTAATGTGGTTTCCTATTTACTAGAATATTACTTGCCCCACCCTTGTGAGAGGAAGAGCACAGTAGAGCCTAGTTCATCTCTTTCCTGACACTCGGGGATATCAAAGCTAAAAGATCCTTATCACAAACACCTTGATCCAACAATGGAATTGAATTTAATTTTAAAAATATTTTTTGTCACTTGATTCAGATTTAACCCTTCACACCCCAAAATCAGTATGCATACTGTCCATACCATTCTCTATCCATTTCCAATGGTATGGACAAAGAGAAATTGCTTCATAATCAAGACCTTGTTGTATAATAATAATAATAATAATAATTTATTGATTTATAGTGAGCCTTTTAACATACCAGTGTGGGTGGTCACTTCCTATATTCTCATAAACTTCATGTTTAGTTCAGTTGTGATAGTGTGTGGAGAAATTAGTTGTTTGTCACTCTTTGAGGCTGAAGGGTTGAAGTGTAGGGATGATTAACAGTCTTGGGATGTCAAGCGCATTTGATTAAGTCTGTCAGAGCTAAGGAACTTGGGAAAGGATCTGGGCCAAGTTGTTCGAAGGCTGATCAGTGCTAACCCTGGGTTAAATTTTAATCCAGGGCCCAGTTGTTCATAGGCCAATTAATTTTAACCCAGGGTTAAATTTAATCCAGGGCCCAGTTGCTCATAGGCCAGTTAATGTTAACCCAGGGTTAAATTTTGAGCTTGGTTTCTTTATTCCTTTGTTCGAAAGCCTTTATTGTATTATTTCATCTATTCTTTTAAGAACATCCAAAGAATGTAAGCAAAAGGATGAGATCTGACACCCAAGACTATCTTAATCCAGCTTTGAATAGACCAGGCCTGGTTTCTATATTTTCTGTTCAGTCATCAGACTGTTGACAAATGGAATTAAACTGAGTTTTCTTTTAAAGTTTTCAGATCTAAATTTAAATTTCACACCAACTCTGGGTTATCTTAGTGTATGTTTGAACGTCCTGGTCTAAGGGGTGGCAGAAAAATGATGAGTTATGATCCGAAGACATTGACGACTGAACGGTAGCAAGTCATTTATTTATATCATCAAAATCATGACAATCAAACCATCAAGAAAAATATAGAGACATACTTTAATTTCTTTCGGTGGTTCATCTTTCAACTGCTTTGCTTTTAGCCATTATGGTGTGGGAGCATAAAAAAAATTAATTAAAATTTGAGCGCTTCTTCTGCTTACTTGGGTTACAAAAACGACTAAATCTTTCCAAGGAATAAGTCACTGTGAAAATGTTAAGAGAAAAGGATGAGAAGAAGGCAAGAGAACTTGTTTTTGATATTAGTCCAGATAACAGGAGAAATCTTTATGGAACACGAAAAATCCAGGAAACGAAACAGAATTTCGAAAAAAAAAAGTTCATTCCAGACGAGGTTTCTTTGCTTTACCCAGTAGCTTTTTCATGGTACGTTCACAACGGGCAACTTTCCTTTTAAGAGCTTTCCTCTGTTTGCTTAACCCTTGTTGCTCGGTTGTAAAGCCCTGAAACAAATTCTCGTTTTTTACAATCTCTCCCTTCACAAATTCTATCTCTTCTTGCAGCTGTTTGACTTTCTCTCTTTGTTGAGTAATATTTGATTCTGTTTCCCTCATTTGTGCCGCCAGTTTAGGAATTGTACTCTCTCCTTTGTCAAGTTTATTATTGTACTGCGCTATCACCACTTCGACCACGCCCTTTTTGCTGCACGCATCCAGTTCGAGCCCCTCGGTTATGAGAAACTCTAGGAAAGAGTTGTCTGTGATGCATTTCAAAATAGTGCTTTTCTCGTCTGAGGCCTCGTCATCAGCTTCCAACGGTTCAAGTGACTCGGAATGGATACTTTCAGTGCTGGCCGACGCGAGGGAAGTAGCAGAAATAGTACGATCACTGTTGCGTAGTGGGCTTAGCACAGGCTTGTTTAATATGCCATAGGAGTACACCTCCGTGTATCTTGAAGACTCTGAGATTTGTTTTTTAGGGGGGTTGGGTAAATCCCGAGCTGTTGACTCACTAGTAGCCTTGGCCTGGGAAGAACTAGCAACCTGCTTGCCGCGGCTGGTCCCCAGGACTTTGGAAAAAGTGGGTTGCTGCTTGGAGGCAACATCGTCTTGATGGCATTTGTTACTGAGAGTAACTGGTGACTGTGATGGGATTTGCGTGTTATGCACGTCCAGAGAGCCACTCTTTGACACTGGAGAATCAAGTAACTCAGATTGGTCAATTTGTTCCACCTGTGTTCTTTGAGCTTCGGGTCCACAAGACCCCTCGGCTGAAGAGCTTTTGCCCTGACACGACCCACTGTTACTTTTTTCGGGTTCATCGAAGCTGCATGCAGCAACCTCCACAGAGATTAAGGCTGTCCGCTCCTCAGTGGGAGATGCGACTGTAGCTATGTCCTTAGTACTGCTACTTGCGACTTTGTAATCATCGGATGAAAGTTTGTGGGTGAAAGGTGCTTTGGGGTCAGACGGCTCACTCTCTATGCCGAGGGTAGGAGTTTTGCACTCCCCAGGACGTTTTAATGCAGTGTGGAGTGCGTCTCCATTTTCGGATGCGTTATTCCACTTGATATTTTCCTCCAAATCTAAGTTCACGGTGGGCTGAACAGTCTGAGAGACGAACATGACTTCTGCTTCAACTGGTACATTAATCACACTGTCATAGGGGGATATGACCGGATTGGATTTCTCGGATAGGCTGAGAAACGAAGGGACATCCATTTGGGAGGGCTTCCCCAAACTGCTGTCAAACGAAACTGTCAGAAGATCGTGCCGCCTAGAGTTTGGAACCGTTGGAGAAGAGGTGTCTTGAAACACTGACCCGGCGACAGTCTCTTGTGACACAGTGATGACTTCATCGGAACCATTGTCCTCTTCTTCGATAGTGTGGGTGATTCGTGGTACATCGTTATCAGAGATGTCAGTTGGACGATCTCCGTGTATGGTCGCGGGAGGTTTTTCCCTGATGGTTGAAAATTCCTCCGAGTCCCTTGAGGTGCTGGGAGTTGGTGTCTCGTTGTCCGAGATGTCCGATTCTGAGCTGATCGTGATTACACTCTCACCTTTGAATGAAATAGAACGATGGTTATTTAAACAATCACCATTTTGAAATAGTTTTGATCAGAATAAAGGCACTAAGCTTACCCCAAGAAATATAGAAAAGGCATTAAATAAAATGATGTTTTAGCATTCAGTCTCTCTCCTTCGAGATGAAAAGGGAAAGAGTACGGTCGCTCTGATTGGTGGAATGTCAACCAATCAAAACCTTATCAAATATGGCGAAATGACATACATCTTTATTTAACTTCTTGTCTTTAGTTCTCTGAGCTCGCTGAGAATATCAAATATCTCTGTGCGGCTAATCCTTTTTTTTCTAAAGGACACAATTTTAAATTTCTTCCTATCTCTTACTTTTCGCCAAAAATTCCGGGAAAACTTGCGTCGCTTTCTTACGATTGCGTTCCAACGCGATGCCGGGGACAGTCTGGTTCTCTTTGTTTACTATGGATGGTACTTGCCCAGGAAAGAAAATCTTCAGAATTTGTTTCATGGTCTTGAAACCGTAGGCATAATCTCGCGCTAAGATGTGAAAAATCGTATCTCCTTCATTGTTCTGTGCATTCAAGCCCTCTAGGGTTTCGGTCCTTGTGATTTGTCCAGCTTCTTCCATCTGCAAAACCTGGTTCACCATACTGCTCATACAGAATTGGTAAAACGTCGCACTTTTTCCAAGCCGGTCATTTCGTCGATCATTCCAAGTATTCTCAGCTGCAGCATGAAAAACTGTATTTCCATTGTTGTCTTGGACAAATATGATCTTTGGATCACTATCAGTTAAAGCAACCAAAATTCGCTCAAACGCTTTTCTCCTGTTTTTAATGGGCCCTAAAGTTGACGCCACTTTCAAGCCTCTTGTCTGCAAGGATCCCGTTCTGAAGACGTACTCGACAGCTCCATGAAGGGCAGTCTCGCCGTAAGAATTGAGAACACGTGGATCGAAGTTGTCCTGTAGGAGAGCTTTCACCAGACCTGCCTTGCCGAATGCAGAGGCAAGGTATAACAGGGGGCATCTCAGATCTTCTAAGGGATCAGGGACATTGCTATTGCGATCCCAGCTCCTGCCGTATGATTGAATGCATTCCTTCAGTAAGTCGGGAAGTTCGTCGGATTTTTGCGAACTATCCAAGCACAAAACGGTGACTAAGTCGTGATGTTCGATCTTGCAGTTCTTGATACAGAACGGAGTGTGATACTTTTGGGAAACCATTGTACAGATTGGAGTGATAAAGGAAAGCGAGCGCGCGCTAAATAAAGCACACAATAAAGTGATTAACTGATTGATGACGTAGTTTATAGACGTTTCTAGTTAAGCAGCGGTAAATTGTATAATTTAATGATTCGATAAACCAAAAGAGATAGTCATGATCACTTGTAAAGCATCACTTTGATTTCCAAATATTTTTTTCTATTTGTTGAAGCTGTCTCATACAATATTTCACACACTTAGTCACTTGGGACTTTCTATTGCGCGTTTAGAGAGAGTTTTCAGCAGTGGATAAAGTACGTTATTCCCTTTTCGTTGTTCTTGTCTTTTAGCATTCGCTTACATCTCGGTTGAAAGTGCGGCGAGAAACTCTAAAGGAAAAATTAAAGTGAGGCAGTAGCCTTGAATGATTTACTAGTTTCCTAAAACCTCAGTCTACATTGACTCGGACCGCTAAAACTTCTCAGGGTTAACCCGGGCGCGCAACTCTTTCCAGTCTCCACTCATATTTAGTGTGGCTGCTCTTTTGTTGGCGGGGATTGTTTAAGTTCTTCAAATTAACAGCGACTTTCAAATGGAACGATGACTCCAGAAATTGTGTTTTATCTACGGAAGACAATGGGTTGGCCAAGAGGCCTTTGCTTTAGCCTTCACAGAACTAAAAGACCCACAGAGTCGTAGTAACAAAGCGTCACTACAGGAGTTCAAGGTCAAGAAATATAATTAAACAGTTTCCCCCCCGGGCTATTATTGGCTTGACGTGTTCGTTGTGGAAAATTACTTGTTAACGTTAGACATGGCTAAAAACGGTGTTGAACTAGAATTGAAGGATGCTGAAGAAATGACAGGAGAAAAGCTGAGGCCCCCGAAAACCCAGCGTCCCAACTACGAGTCATTGAAAGAACATAACGATAACAATGGTAAGTGCTCCATCAAAACTCAGAGTTTTCGCACAACGAAGAGTTCATGGAACTTTGGAGACCGCCTTCGCTTTCGTTAGTGTTATTTCTGAAAATTTTTTTAAGGAAATTATTAAACCAATTGATTCTCGGAAGCTGTCAAGGAAAAAAATAACGTTATTATGATTTTTTTAAATTATTAATATACATTCATTTATTTACACGAGCAGTTTTTACGTTTAAGGGTGAACGTTAGCCTATTAAGTTAGGTAAACTAATCACACTAATACAAGGTTGACTATATCAATGTTAAATTTAGATTCCTTACAGAACATCTGACCGCGTCAGGTCATCTTTACTTGGTTTTAAGCCACACTGTTGAGATCCGCAACTGAAATTAATCATGCAAGTGGGCTAGCTTCGTTTTGCATCACTAAATGTGCTTATATGTGGCATATTTATTGGACAATTTTGTAATGTTTCTGACAAGTTTTATCCTCATCCTACCCCTCTTTTTCATTATGTCTTAAATGAGAGAGAGAATGTGGTTAAGAGCTCTAGGAATTAACCCAAAACTCTGGTCAGATTTATGGAGTGCCCCTCCAACACATGCAAAAGACCTTAATTAAGCAAACCATGAAGGTGACGGCAACAAGAATTCCATCAATAAAAGATTCAATGAGCACATCAATACCTCAGCAAGTGCGTTTTAAAATTTTGTTCATCTCTCAGCTGTCCTCTGCAAAACATCAACTTGAAATCACTAAATTTGTTCAATCAGAGAGAGGGAACCCTGGTAACAAATGATTTATGTTTCTATTTGGAACTAACTGCTGCTCACATATCTTATGAGGTCTGGCGTTGTTAGAGCTAGAGAGTAATTACATTCACCCATTGCTGTCCTGATTGTTTAAGGTCCCTATGATTTACCTGTTGACTGAGCGACTGGATGGAAGAAGATTTGGCTTGAGTTTGTGAAGGATGAACCAAGTGGCAAGATCTGTTCATCCTGACCAAGAGCTATTTTGATTTATGACAACTGCTCTTTTCTCTTTCTTCTTTCCCCCTTCCTTCTCTCAGCTTCCATCTTGCATAGCTGAAAAGCCCTAGTACCATCTCATACAGCCCTCATATGGGGTTATATTTATGATGTTTTTTTGTAATGAAAGTGTGAACAAGGCTGTACGGGTGAAATGATGATTATTCGTCTCACTTCTTTTGCCGATGAATATGTCATCAGACTTTATCTCTTTTTCAGAATATGTGGAACAAACATTCACTTTGTCAGAAGCTGTGGAAGCAATTGGAATGGGAAAGTTCCAGATCCTACTCATTCTTATGGCTGGCTTTGTCAATGTAAGTTTGCATTTGTAGCCACAGTTTATCTTTCATTGAAGTGAGATTTTTTTTCAGGATATAGAAATGTTTTGAGAGCACTAGATAAAATGTTTGATTTTCTTTCATTTTTTCTTTTAGGATGATAAGTGTATAAAAATAGGAATATATAAAGAAATAGGTGTCTTAAGGATACTTAGCATCAGTTTTAGAACTTTGCTGTAAGCATGATTTTTTTTATGTTGTTTAGTATGTTAAGAGGGGCACCTGTATAGTAGAGTTAATTCTACATTAATTCACAATTTCCCAAACCAGTTGTATTATGATTTTACCTAACATATTTATTTTTTTAGGATCTATTACGATAGTCTGAGACAAGGAAAATAGTAGATGGAAACTTAAAAGGAGGGAAACATTTGAAGCAGGAGATTTTGTGATTACAATAATTTTAGATGGAGGAAGTAATGTGTCATAAGAAGTGATAGTACTCTGTGTCTTATTGTAAATACTGTTAAGTTATGTTTGTAAAGAGTATTTAATGACAACTGAAAAAAAAAAACACAAGTCTAAAAGTGTATCCACTTTGTGGAATTTTCTAACTTTTAGATGTGTGATTCCTTGGAACTCTTGTTGCTTGCGGTTTTAAGTCCAGCAGTACACTGTCTGTGGCATTTGTCATCATGGGAAGAGGCTTTCATTACTACAGTGGGTGTTCTTAATATTCGAGACTCCTAACAATTATAAGAAATGTGTGGAGGACAGTTAAGAGAAATGATAGTTCAATCTCTAGAGTGAAAGAGTTAAAATGTACCCTCTCTGTATTATTTCAATGTGCTTTTCCCACAATTTGAAACTTTTTATTTTTGTTCTGTAGCTTTAACAGTTGTTTCTAATTGCAATTTCAGATTGTTTTTGTTGGTATGGCTGTTGGCTGTCCTGTGTGGGGCTGGTTATCTGACAATTTAGGACGAAAAAGTGTAAGTTAACATGGTTGAGTAACAATGTCGCAACATTGCTGCTTTGTAAATTTCGGATTAATGCATCATATATCAACTTTTGAAATGTTGTTTACTTTCAGATGATTATTATAAGTGCAAGCTGGCTCTGGTATTTTGGTTTCATTAGTTCTTTTTCACCGCATTACTTCTGGCTTGTTGCATTAAGATGCTTGGTCGGATTTGGAATTGGTGGTATACCAACAATGTAAGTCAAAGTTTGAGTTATGTCCAACCAGTGGGAGATAATAAACCAAACAGAAGAGAACTGCCACATGAACATAGAATATGAATTATATTCAAAGGCCTGGTTTATGAATCATTCAAATCCAAGAACTGGTCCACTAGTTCGGAGGTTTTTTATTTAATTTAGAGTAGTGGTTTTGTACGAGACCATTAATTTTAACGAATGGATTTGGAAAATCTAAAATCAAGAATTAAAGGACTGTTACTCTTTGCACCCGTAGGTACACACTTCTAATTGAGTTCCTTCCCATTCATATGAGGTCATACATCATCTTGTGCCTTGCTGTAAGTATTTTTTTTTTAATACATAATACAAAGTGAAGTTGTTTGCTACCTTCAGCAAAGTATCTATTAACAAATTTGATGTGTGTTTTAGTGTTTCTGTCCATAATCTTACAGAATGAATTTTTTATTTATGTTAATTACATTGTCCATCAGCGGAGGTCAAAATGTCTTCATAAGAACATCAAACTAAAACACAATCTCACAGGGAAAAGAACTAAGTGGTAATTGGTGATTTACTCCTGACTCTGGACTTTTTTCAAGATGATATTGGATCAGATTTACCTATCCACTCTAGCTCTCTTAACCCTTTCACTCCCAAGATCGCATTCAGTACGTAATTTTCTTTACTGTCTTTCAGAATTTGATGTAGGATCAACTAATGATCCACTTATCAGTATTTTTCTTTATTCTCAGCACTTGTCTGCTTGATGTGGTATTGATATTGTAAGGAAAAATTCTATCTTGTTCTCTCATGAGAGTTAAAGGGCTAAGAGATAACCCGTTGTTACTCTCTTTTTGCTTCAGGAGGCAATCATAAAGCAATGCCTTGCTACAATGTACTGTTAAATTTTTGCAAGCCAACAAAAATTTTTCATAAGCTGCACTACCAGATGAGAAAAAATTCTGAACCCAATGGAAAAAATGGAAAATAGAAGTGTATAATATTGAAATAGGAATGAAAAAAATCCTTTACCATTGAAATATGATTAATTTAATTTAATTTACTAATTTACTCCATTTTCACTGCATTAATTTTTGCAGTGGGGAAGGACTAGAAAGGAACATACGAACCATTCGTGCTAGTCCACCCTCCCACCCATCCCACCCCAGGGGAGGACATCCATCACACAGTAATCTCGTGTGTGGGAAATTAACGTCTCCTACCCCTAACCCTGAAGGAGACAGGACCTCCATTTATTCGTCCCTATCCGAGAAGACTAGAATATCTAACCATTTCTTGATGTTATAGAAAGGTAGCAAATTCTTCTCAATTATTTTAAGACCCTGAGTGTTGGTCCGGCCAGGGCTCGAACCCTCGACCTCCCGCACAGCAGTCCAGCGCTCTATCCATTGAGCTAACTGGGAGACGGTTAGCTATACTTACTGAAAGTGTTTTTGACTGTTTCCAGTTTTTCTGGGCACTTGGATCAACTTTTATGGTAGTTGTAGCTCTTATTGTCATGCCCACACGTGGCTGGAGGTGGATGACGGCTATTGCGACAATCCCTGTTATTATATTTATCATTTTATGTAGGGTAGGTGAATGTTATGAGTAATTCCAAATGTTATGATCCACTTGCTATTCCTTGAAACAGCTGAGTCTGTTGTAACAGTTAATCTTTGTATATCTGAGATTTTGCTCTAGACACTCCTTTCACCAGATTTGTTCCATTAAGACTTTATTTTATTCAGACCACGAGCTAGAAGTTTGAATTATTATTATTATTTTTTATAAGTTAGAGTACTGATATTTACTCTAAACAAAGTTTACATATAAATTAGTCTGTCATAGGATAGAAAAAATGGGACTGGCAATACACTTTGCTAACAAGTGAAAAACATAAGTTGTATGACTAATTCAACCATGGTATTAGTTTTGAATTATCATTTTTTTAAAAGTACGATGATTATGCATTATTTTGCAGTAATTAACTGGAGATATTTGTTCCTTCCTAGTGGTTGCCAGAATCACCTCGGTATCTGATTACTGCAGGTGAAAAAGAGGAGGGAATGGAGGTATTGAAACGTATGGCCAGAATCAATGGCTCCAAGCTCCCACCAGGAACTCTTAAAATTGAGACAGAGGTACATATTCTCCAAGAACCATTTATACAATAATAATGATTGGTTATATCCAACATGTTTGATAATGATGATATGGTTTCCTCTTTTTTCACTTATGTTTTTTACTCAATTTGTTTTCAGACTGCTGAACAAGGGAAAATCCAAGTTCTTTTTAACTCAGAATATAGATTGACAACCCTTCTTCTGTGGCTAACTTTGTGAGTTAACAATTTTAAGTTTTATTCTAACATTTTGATTTATTTGTTGGAAATGGTTGACAGGTATCTATGAGAAGACACACAGGGCTTGCTCTGTAAGTATCCCAGAGAGCTTTATACAATTCCTTATAATTTTATTATAAGGAATTGTATGGAGCTTTTTTAGTGTTAGTCGTGGCGCGGCGGGTGTTGTCATGTATGATCCTTGCGAGGATCATATGTGACAACACCCACCGCGCCTCAACTAATGCTAAAAAAACTCTACAATTCCTTATAATTTTATTATAAGGAATTGTATGGAGCTCTCCGAGATACTTACAGTGCAAGCCCTGTGTGTCTTCTCATGAGTGGACCAGTTTGAAAGAAAGACTAATCCAATGTATTACCTGTGAGTTAAAGAGATTTATTTTATTTTCTGGTTTTTCTGTTTCTGACAGGTTCACTTCTGGATTTTTGTACTATGGTGTTGTGTTAATGTCAGCGCAAGTTCTTCAGCAAGTCAGACCAGATGAGAGTATATGTGATAGAGGTTTGTTTCTTTGATATGAAGATTGAGACATAGAAAGTCTTAGAATAATGACTGACAACATCCAAAGGTTCACTTGGTATGACCCAAGGATTAAGTAACTACTATAGAATATCTAATCCATCAAATATTTTTGCTTGTGGTGGATGAATGTGGATTACTTCATGTTTCTCATCACCTATTTCATCCCCCCAGATAGCAATAGCACGGTAAAAACAGTTTCCATCTCCTCTGACAACTAGACCACTGTGGGATGTCGATTTCACATAAGCCTTATGCAAGGAGGGAACTTAAATCCTTAAATCCTTAAAACCTAACAAAGCTGTTGGACTTGATAAGCTAAGAGCATGCCTGTTGAAGGATGCTTCTGACATCATCGCCCCAATACTAACTGGTTTGAACAATAAATCCTTCAGTGATGGAGTGTTTCCTAGAGTCTGGAAATGTGCAAAAGTCATTGCATTATTTAAAGTTGGAGATAAGTCAGTAAAAGATAACTATCAACCAATATCAATCTTACCAACTATAAGCAAGATCATAGAGAGACCAGCACATTTTTAGTTAAGTTCCTTTTTGGAAGTAAACAGACTATTATCACAATCACAGTTTGGCTTCCAACTAAAGCGTTCAACTTCCACTGCCCCTAATCGACTTTACAGACCAAGTCCTTGAAAGTATGGACAAAGGATGCGTGACGAGAACAATGTTCCTGGACCTTCGCAAGGCGTTCGACACTGTCGATCATCTGCTCCTCATCAACAAACTCAAGTCACTAGGAGTAGCAGGAAAAAGCTTAGAATGGTTCCGCTCATATCTCACTGGTTGAGTTAAAAAAACAATGTGTATAAATGCATTGTCCCCCCCAGCTAAAGTCACTATGGGAGTGCCGCAGGGTAGCATTCTGGGACCATTGTTATTCTTGGTATATATTGATGGAGTTCAATCTGAACTGCGGCACTCAAAGATGACTATGTTTGCTGATGACATGGCATTTTATTGTCATGAGAACTCGCCAACCAATTTGCAATCAAAGCTTAATGCAGACTTGGCAGCTATTTCATCTTGGTTACATAATAGTAAGCTGACACTAAATGTTACTAAGTCGAAGTTTATGGTCATTGGAGGACATAACAGATTGAGTCAATTCAATGACTTAGCCCTTGTAGCCAATAATGATCAACTGGAGAACGTTACCAGATTTAAGTATCTCGGAGTGATCATAAACCAGCATCTTACTTGGCATGACCATATTGAACAGCTACAAAGTAAAATAACAGAGAAACTAGGTGTGCTAAAACGAATCAAGCATCTTCTACAAGTTTATGCAAGGAGGATCTGTGTGTCAACAATGGTCATTCCTGTTCTCAAATATGCAAGTATCATATGGGGGGATAAAAATAACAAAGTTTTGATGGATTCTATTCAAGTTCTTCAGAATAATGCAGCTAAGCTAGTAGTGGAATGAGCGACACATTCCTCTTCAATTCAAGCACTTCTTGATATGAACTGGATCAATCTATCATCCAGAAGATCAATGCAATGGTGTCTTTTTATGCATAAACTTATAAATGACAGTGAAAGAAACAGTATGATTACTCGAGGCACAGACTATCATAGCCATAACACTCACTCCAAGGAATTTATTAGATCTGTTAGATCAAACACGAACTGGGGTCTACTCAGATCTGTTAATAGCTACTGTGCATTGACAGACTGGAATTCCCTCCCAGAAGACATGAAATGTCTACCCTATGATGCTTTTAAAATCTCATTTCTTAAATATTTTGAATTTTAATAGGTTCTGTTAGTGTGTAATCTCTTGCACATCGATTTTATTATTTTCTGTTCATGTCATATTTTAGATATTTCATAATTTAGATATTTCATATTTTAGATATTTCATATTTCTTATTTCAACCGTGAGTTTTTACTTATTAAATACATGATTACTTATTTTATACATTGTTAATTTTGAGGGCCTCACTGAAAACTGCTATGGCAAGCTGGGCTCCCTCTTTAAATATTTGTTATAAATAAATAAATAAATAATGGGTAGATTTTAACACATTTTTCATGGTTATTGAATCAAAAACTTACACTTTCCCCAGATCAGCTCCTATCCTTTTTGTAACAATAGTGGTCCCAAAGACTAAAGAAAGACGCTAAAGGCAATAGATAACAGGTTTTAATGGCCACCTCAGAACAACAACTTGAAGCACATGGTTTTCTGTGTGTCACATGACGCGAGACCACAGGCATACCATGGCACTTTTTGATAAAATGGCTGCTTAAAGGTGCCAAACTCTCTCCAAAATTGTTTTCTGGAACTTCAAAACAACTTTTCACCATATATTTCTTTGTAACAACTTGCAATGTTGGGGGATTCAATTACTGGCAGCTCATTCATCAATATTAAAGTATCCGCTGAAACTGGGGAATAGCCAAGGATGTGCCCCAAAGGATATCACTCGACTATTTTGTGTTTTTTTTCTTTTGGGCATAATTCATTACGATTGTCAGTTAAAGCAAAAGCATCTAATTCAAAAACTAGAAAATTATATAATACTGGAAACTTATTCAGTGGTTTAATATATAATATCATCAGACATTTTGCTCATCTTTCTGGTAGTGGACAATATGTTCAACCATCTAGGAATTGCTATGGATGGAGAGCTAAGAATCAGAAAAGCTCAAAGACAAGATTGTCGACAGAGCTTTGCAACAGAGCTGTGCTAACATTTTGTTGTATTCATCCTCAGATTTTTTTCTTTATAATTTTTTTTAGAGAGTTTGTCTACTGCTACTGTTGGATGTGGCTGCCAACTTCTTACAGTCAATGATTATATGAACCTTCTTTGGACAACAATAGCTGAGTACCCTGGTAAGTCCATAATCTCCTTCATCTCCCCCTCTTTCCCCCCCTCTTTCCCCCCTCCCTCTCCCCTGTAACTCTCTACTGTTGCAACATGTAAAGTTTACTCAGTATTTTCTTACTACCTTGTGGTTACTTTCTAATTCAGCTGCTAGTACTGAGTAACTAACGGTTGCAACCTTCTGACTTCTAAAGTTTAAAGTTAATGTAACCATTTGAGTCTGCTCTTACTCAGGGGGGCCATACTTATGGAGAATCGCTGTTTGTTTTATGTTGGTTAAGTATGTAAAAGGTTTTTTTTTCTCTTTGTCAGGAATATTGTTTACGATGCTCTTTATGGAGAGGCTTGGTAGAAAGAAAACTTTAGCTGGAGAGTTCTTTATAATAGCTGCATGCTTGGGACTCATGTTTATTTGTACTGAGAGGTAAGCTATGTTTTTACAGTTAAAATGTATGATTATGTAGCTTGGTCTTAAGGACTCGTGTCAGCTTTATAATGAATATGGTACTCCAGTAATCTATTAAATGTGTGTTCCAAGCAGTGCATTTTCTAATTATAGAGTAGGGAATGGATGGAAGATTTGTAAGTTTAAAAGTGTGATGATAAACATGAAGTATTTTGAAAAGATGCAGCAAGTAAGGGCACGAGTCAAAACTATAACCTAACCATTTCCAGCTCATATTGTCCACCATTTCTGCCTTTAAATTTTTAACCTTGTGTTTCTGTCAACAGAACTTTATTGCTGGTACTTTTATTCTTGGCTCGTGGGATGTCATTAGGTGTCTTCCAAGGGTTTTTTGTTTATGCCCCCGAGGTAAGGCTCTTTTATTTGTTATATGTGCAGATTGTTTATGCTGCCAATTGTTGCACATGTTTGGTAATGAATAAGAAATGCACAGACAAGCAATGGAAATATTTAAGGCATGGTTTACTATTCCTTGAGCTGTGTGGTATATTTCCTTAGTCAAAATTTTCACGTGGAATTTGTTTCTTTCAGTGGAAAATCTTACTTTCATTTTTTTTTTTCTCAAGGGAAACTGTGGAGGGCCATTCTATGATTACTTTGAGGGGATAATTATTTTTTTTCCCCAGTTTGATACTTTTAGTTGAATATCCACCCTCTGAGGATGGGTGTCTTCAAAAGATCCAACTGAAAGGAACAAAAGTTTGGAAATTGTGTCGTTGTTTTGACATTTAATGTAAAATTTCTTTTCTGGTGTCTAAAATGGTATTATTTATTGAAAAGGAAGAACAAAAAAAGGTTTCTGTACAACTCCTGTAGTTCCAAAGGTAAACTGTTTCAGCCATTGTTTTTCTTTTATCAAGTTATCATGTACAATTAAGTATGGCATCTCACTGAAATCTTGCCAGAAAACAAATATCAACAGCAAGCTCTTGAGATAATTTTGAAGTTTGTGGTTTCTTACATAATTATATCAGGTAACATTTATTTCCTCTACAAAACCTTAATGTATTTGATTATTTTGGTCGACATCAAATTAAATTTTTTTTTTGGAAAATTCTCAGCTGCAAGAAATATATCCAGTTTTTCTTTAGACACTTGATGTAAAATTTCTTCTCTGTTGTTTGTCTTTTGGTTTACTTTTAGGTTTATCCCACAGTCATCCGATCATTAGGATTCGGGTTTTGTTCTACCTGGGCTCGTATTGGAGGAATGTTAACACCTTACATAGCTCAGGTAGGGGACGGATTAATAGAGCTGTCATACCCAATAGGCCCCTTGGTTACCAACCAGTGTTGAAGCCTTCTGTCCCTTCCTGTCAGTTGAACAGTGACCTCCTATTTGTTGGTGCTAAGCTTGTCAGAGCAAGGGGTTCTTTACCAATTTCTTTGGATTTCCATCTATTTCAGTTGGTGACTGATAGATGATCATTTGACTCCTTTTTAACTCAAATTACCAAGTCGCAATTTATTCACATTTGTATCTGATAGATGAGAGTGTCGTGCAAGTTCACTGCGCACTAAAAATTTAATTTTAAAACTACTTTAACCCTAAGAGTGGCTTGCTTCTAATTTCTCCCCAAAGTGTCTCCCTCGAATCAACTGTAAAAGTCGCGAGTGGGGCTGTCAATAAGTTTGAAAGTAGATGACAAATAAGAAATACTGGCAGTCATCGTGCATGCCATGTTGTTTAATCAGATTACATGCTAGACTGGGAACTATTCAGTTAAAATTTCTGCAGCATTCCATGAATCTTTTAAGCAAATTTTCAAGAAAGGAATTGATTTACACTTCTAAAATTGTTTTTGGCAAATGATGCATTCAGTTCCACCAAGTACTGCCGAATGGCCTCTGTACAAAATTTTGTTTGATGGTTTTCCAATAATAGTCAGGGTTTTTGTCAGAGCTCATGATAAGGTGAAATGAAAGTACGGTAGCTGGCTGAGGATGGCAGACTTCCCAGCTGTTTCAGCATGAGAATAAAGGAAATGATCAACAATTAAAGAAGCTCCTGATTGTCAAACAAATTCTCCTTGTCAGTTCTATGGGAAATTTAAATAGAACAGTGAGGAGAATACAAATGCTGATGTAAAGGGTTACAGCCTGATTTTGAGTGTTTTTTTCTCTGTGTTATATGCCGCAGGTATTGCTGCGAGTGTCATGGAACTTGTCTCTGAGTGTTTATATATCACTTAGTGTGATGTCTTTAGTGGCTACACTACTGCTGCCTTATGAAACCAAGGGACGCCCAATGCAGGTGGGTGCATCTAAATGTCTCAAATTCCATTTTTATTTCTTTGATTCCTTCTCTTACTTTCAGCTTTTTGATATATAGAAATTGTTTGCAGTTCAAAAAGAAGCGTTTGGTATTTCTTGAGTTCTTGTAGTGCTTTATGGAATGGAGGTGATTCTGACACACTCCTCTTTGTCTTCCTTTTTTTTCTTTTAGGAAATGTGACAAAAATGAATCTACTCCTTCAGAACACTATAGTTGAATAATTAGTAGTTTGATTTGAAAAATCATGGTTTAATTTCCAGTAACACTCAATTTGAACTTGTACGATCAGATGCACAGTCAACAGTAGTTTTAAAGGTGTTGTAAGTTTCTAAAGAAATTGTAGTGCCGTGTCAGTGAGTGGAGGGGGGGGGGAGGGGTTGGGGTATTGTAAAATAATTTGGTTTTATCAACTGAGTTGATAATGTGAATTGGCCATCATAAAGAGTTTGTAAAGCGGACATTTGTTTGTCACTGACTCAGACTTTGTTCCCATAACTTTGAGCTTGCGACAGCAAAGGAGAGCTCAAAAACATCAAGTATGGTTAATATTTTTGGCTCATAAGAAAGCTGAATCACATTTGACTGTGACAACACTCTGTTAAATGAAGGTCCACAACTAAAGCAAGGACTCTGTCTTAAGTTATGTATAAGCCTGCTAATATTTATTGTTATTGTCATGAGGAGATTAAATTAAGGCGCTATAAGCGATATTTAAATGTAATGATAATACTGAGGTAAGAATGATTTGCAGAAAAAGATATCAGTGGATGTTATAGAATAGTTTAACATTATTAAATATTATATCAGCATTTTTTGTCTCTTTGTATAAAAAAAATTTTTACCTCTTGAAGTATTTCCATTCACTAATTGCTCACAGATGATCGGTAGGCATCTGTCACTGGCCTTATTATTGGAAAATTGATAATAAATTATTGATTATTAGGTTATTTAATTGTAATTATTTCTTGTGGATTTAAGAAGTTTTCAAGTTGAACTCTGTTGTTTTCAACATATGTATGCATAAGTTAGTTTTAAATTGGTAAGGGTAATCAAAATTTTATTACCTTTTATAAAAATATGGTGTAGCAATTATAGTCGAATTCTCTTTCATTTGCAGTGTTACAGATTGAAGGATATTTAGAATACATTATGATTAATGGAAGGTAGTTTTCGTGAAACCGTGGACTAAAAAAATATTTATCGGTATATTTGAAATGCAAAGATGAGTCAACTTTCTGGTGAGGTTTTTGTAAATAAATATTGGTTGAATAGCGTTATTGTTGTCTTTTTTTCTGTTTCATATCTGAATTGCAGATTATGAGAACTGACTTCTCTGAACCGTGATTTTTTTTTGTCGTTGAAATTAAAACATAGCCACTTATAAATTTGCATTTCAAAGCAGGAACTGCACGTTTTCGCTTAGAAACGTCAAGAAAAAATTTTATGAACAAATTACAGGTAATTAATGTTAAATTATTCATCTTTGCCAACGAGCATGGCGGACAACTGTGAGCCGTTAGCGTGATAATGTTATTTTTGGCAAAGAGCTCTCTTACATCAGTGTTTTCGACTTTGGAAGGGGATAGTATGTTTGGAAGAAGAATTTCGCAGGTACACGTGGAGTTCTGACTTTCAAATAACTCAGTTTTGGACTGATAACCGCCAAGTTACACGTAGACGTGACATGACCAAGAAAGTCAAGGATTTGGAAACAAATACTTGAAAGGTGACAGATTATACTGTATTCTTCACGTTTGTTTCTGGTGAATGGTTAATGTATTTTGTTGGCGACAAATAATTTTAGTCCATAGAAATAACTAGTGGTTTTAGATGAATGGTGGAATCGATCATCTTCGTTTGCATTTTGGGGGGTGTGAGGTCAGAGCAGGAGGGGGAAGAGGGGGGTTGTGGGATAGGCTGGGATCACTTCTTTCTCACCAAGTGAAATGTTATCTTTCGAAAAGTTACAAAAACATAAAACCTGACACTAGTAATGATGAGTCTTTCTTAATATTTACCTCAGAGAAATGTAGGGGTCGCGGTCGGCAATTGCAGGCTTGCAGAGGGTAAAAGAAAATATTCCTCTTGCAAATTTTTTATGCTTTTAAATTTGATGAATTTCTTTTGTTTTTTATCAGTCTTTTTGGGGTGGTAGTAGCTTCTGTGTTAATACAGTTGGGAATAAACTTAGCTGTTAGACAGGGATTATCAGCGATGGGATTGTTTCTCACCAACGCTTAATTTTCTTAACCAGACCTGAAAATGCTATATTACTGGGAGGGGTACTTATGTCAAGGATGGAAAACCTAGTTATTATTTTTACAGTATTAAGTTGTTTGGTCTGTAAAGGTACATATAGCATACGGATTGGTCTGTTAATGTATATATAACTTGAGGATTTCGGTGGAAGAGAGAAAATTTTAGAGAAAATACTAGTATTTATATTAATTTCCTCAGAAAAATACTTGCAACTAAGTGATGAAATGAATTCTAACGATAAGGATTCTCTTATCCCTCGCCCTATTGACACGTCTGAGACTGTACTTAGCTTTACCTAATTAACATTCTTTACTTGGCCAGCTTTAACAATCATGTTCTCTTGTACAGTTGGAACTGTTCACGAGGAGATGATCAGATCTGCTGAGCACAGGAAAAGATTTGGGATGCATTTACTTTCAACGGTAAGTTGGTTGTTTTATTTAAGCAAGTATTATCGTACGAATATATCGTTATTTAAGGGAAGCTCCTTGTCAACTGTTTTATGTGGGTGCTTTTCTGGGCAATGAGTGAACGAGAACACTGAAATTTGACCCCTTTAGCTTGTAAGTTTTGTTTACTCATTTGAGGCCATCAAGACTCGAGAGATCTGTTTCTTTCTAATTTACTCTTCCAGTTCATCTGTTCGCATATTTTACAAAAGATAAAGGATTCTCTTGAGACCTGAAATGGTAAACAAAACATACAAGGTCTATAGGTGGTTTGCAACCAATCTCTAGAGACACAGGTAACAATGGTGAAAGGAACAAATGCTGGTGGACGAACAAAGGAAGCTAATGAGATATCCATTGTTTACGTCCACCAACATGGCGGCCATGACGTAACGTTCAAACCACCTATAGTTTCTTTATCCGTTCTGTGAATCTAGCAACTTGGTTATGTAAGTGGAAAAACAGATGTTTTCGAGTCTTCAGATGAAAAACAGACGGTAACAGGGCTGAAATAGTATTATTTGTTAAAAAGGAAGAACAAAAAAAATTACTGTACAACCCCAGTAGTCCCAAAGGTAAACTATTTCGGCCATTGTTTTCTTTTAACAAGTAACCGTGTGTATAATGAAGTATGGCGTTCCACTGAAATCTTGCCGAAAAACAAATATCGACACCAAGCTCTTGAGATAATTTTGAACTTCGTGTTTTCTAACGAAATTATATCAGGTATTATTTCCTCTACAAAATCTTAACGTTTCTTATTATTTTGAACGACATCAAAGTCAATTTTTCTTCTGAAAAATCTTGGCTGCAAGAAATAAATCTAAACGAATATAATCGGAAAAGATCAGAGAAAAATATTTGAGGCAACAGTAACCTGAGAATTAGAAAAAGAAAATGTTTATGAAGTCATGTTGCTCGCTGGGTGGAACTTAATTAAATTTAATGCTAGAAATTGAAATTAAAAGGCCAATTAGAAGTACGCAATCTTTATGCGGTAAACGAGTCTGGAGGAAAACTATCAGGGTTTATTTACTGCGTATTGAAGCTTTTACGGAGCACCATATTTGTGCACGTGCAGAACAAATGCAAATTTTTGTAAAACTGTGTTCTAAGATTTACTGTTTGCTTTTAGCTTGTACTCTTACTTAGTTTTCATGTTATGGTTTGCTTCCATGAATTTATTTGTGCCCAGAATTAATTTTTCATCTGTTCTTTTTTCCCAGTTCAGACCGTGTTGTTTCATGTCAAGCAAGACTCAAAGACAACCACACATTCGACAGACGAGTTCCAGGCGGATATTTGAAACGAATTGCAGCTAGGATTGTTGATTGGTTATCCAAAATTTCTTGCATACAGTTTCATTCTTTGAGGACAAATTCGCCAGATTTTATTTTAAGGATTGTCATGAAAGTTCAAGCCGGTTAAATTTTGGAATAGATTCAGGAATAAAGTCGAATTTTTTATTTGATTCTTGCTCACTAAGGTAACCCCTGTTCAGAATTTTAAATTTTCCCGCCAAAAAACTTAGGTAAAAATGCATGCGCTGTATTTTTATTTGGTATTAAATAAGTCAATAACTCATTGTGTAGTGTTTTATTTTCTAATCTTCCTTTTCGTTCTCAAGATATCAGTCAAACAATACAAGTATTTTGTCATTTCATTGTTTTATTCTCTCCTAATATTCTTTAATTAGATAAGTGATTTTCCGTTAAATAATCCAAAACGTGTCAAGAAAAATGCGTTTAAATATGTACTAAGACTTTTGGCGGGAAAATTTGGAGCAATTTTCACAGAGTTTTCCCGACAACATTTTCGATAAAAATTCAAAATGCCTTCCTCTGAATTTTTCCGTCAAACTAGATATGAACATCACCTTGTGCAAAATTTTTTCACACAAAAACTATGAAACAGCCCTTCGTTTTATTTTTTTAAGATTTGACGACTTTTTCTCCGAGTAATTAGTCTTTGAATTTGTTTTTTTTTTTTGCACAAGATGATAAACTCTACTTTTACAATGGGAAAAATGGCAAGCTTTCTTTTAGTGCACTGCAAATTGGCGTGTTTTAGAACTCCTTTTTTGCCAATTTTAAATGTCGACTTGAAATTTTACGCGTAAAGCTCAATTGCCATTTTGCTATAAGACAGACATTTTTCAGCCATACGGTTTTTGTTTAGTTTCACAGGACATTTGACGCGAGCTGATCCATATTTGTAAATAATAAATTTGTGTTGGAGTTAAAATAATTTTGAACTGCTTTCTTCTCCTTTCAGTGTCAAAGACTCAGACAATCAATGAATTTGTCGAGTCAAATTGTATTCTTCACCGAGAAGTTCCGATTTCAATCTTCAAACTTTACCTACAGTCCTGTGTTGCATTAACTTTTGGCTGAAACATGTCTCTCTAAGTTGCAAGTAATATGATAAAACCCTACGACTCGCTCAAAGTCCTTAAAGAATAGTTTTGAAGGAAACATTTTACGCGAAATGTGACCATCCACGAAAACACTTTGAAATGGGTTGTACAGACCATAATTAAGTCGCAAAACATCAAACAATTCTATTCAGGTCTTCGATTTTTACTCCATTAGTGAAATTGAAATTAAAATGAACAAAAACAGGCACTTTCCAGACAAACTTCGATGGGAAACACTTGTGTAATTTAATTGTGCCAATAGATCAGATTCTTTCAAACAAAGCATTAATTCTTAAGCATCGTCAAGTTGGAGCTTTGTCGAACAGACAATTTGATCCCCCTAGTTTTCAAGTACGTTGGGAATTCCAGACCCAAACTAAATTCGTGAGTAACTTTTAACTTGAACTGATTAAGAATCCTGCTTCCTTTTCCTCGAAAAATTCCTTCAGTCATGATAAAATAAATCTTGGAATGCGTCATCTTCTGTTTCAAAGTAATATTAACCTATTTCTTAATAGTCAAATTTAAACTAGAAATTCTCCTTGTTTTTTTTTGTATTGTTTTCTTTCCTTCTTCATAATATTTGCGAGTGGTCTGTATAACGTCATATCAACGCTGTTAAACGAAATTTATTTTAGAATACTCTGAGCCAGACAGAGGTTTTATACACTAAACTAACAAAACGACAAGAGAACGTTGACAAGTGAGCTTTACGTAAATCATTCGAGTTTTATTTTGTTTTTTAATCAATAGCTATAAGACAATCACAGGTTAAATTTGTGAGTGGCAGTCGAATGTCGGTGACAGTAACTGGTCAGTAACTATCGTACATTGTCGACTCTAGAATTCAGTTGATGGTTACGGACGAGCCCACGATATCTGGTACAGACATTGCAGCGTAATCAGTAGATTTCAAAAGTCAAGTCAATATTTCGTCCTAGGAGGTTGTCGTCAAGGTAAAAACTTGAGAAAATATCAAGGTATTTGTTTTCGTCAGATTAATTTCCCAGTTCGTTGTAAATTACTTATGCTCGCTACTGTAGAGTCCGAATAGCCAAAGCCTTGTGTTAAGTCAAGGTGTAGGAGAGTGCTTACTGAAGTAATCTGTCGGTATGTGTCAGGTTTCGTAAACCGTTGTCGGTCGCTGTTTGGAATGTAGTCTAAAAGTTAATCCCATATTGTATGTGGTCGTTGGATGCTGGTGGAGTTTCGTTATAGTAAAGAACGTCAAATGTAAGTACGTAGCGTTACTAAGCCAGTGCAAGTCATGTTCAGTTCGTAAATAAATAGCTATTTTTTTACGTAAACAGAATAATTTTTGTTACCGATGTAAGTTTTGGTTGCCAAGTGTTCTCTTGTCATATTAGACAGTAAGGTGGCACTGATTAATGTATTGACACAATTTTATGAACTTGCCTTTGGCTTGTCTTCTTCGCGCAAGGTGGTGCGTAACGTCTCAACAAATTGCCCGTGAAATGATATTAGTTTTCCAAATAAAAATTTTTTAGTTCCGAGGAAATTGTTGCCTTGTCAGCAAAGGCCACAGCCTTTTTCAGAACGTTTTTCAGTTCCTCGGAAAGATCTATGCTTGTTTCAATATTCAGATTTTTCTTGACAGTACCTTGTTTTTTACAGTGGCACCTTAAAAATCTCTATTCTAATGGTACTGATGACTGCAGCTTGCACAAAGGAAAAAGCTCAAGAAACTTAAATTATGTGTTTTTTAGTTGGTTGTAAAGCTAAAAAGATCGCCACTCAGACGAGCTCCTTGGATCTACCCTCTCTCCTCGAGACTGTCGAGTTGAACTCGTTCAATGAGATCACCCAAGGCTTAAAATGTTTTGTTTAGTTTTGCTTGATCTTTTTTTCTTTCTTGTCCGTTTTTCTTTTTAAGAGTATAAAAAATTGAATTTTGTGTAGAGCTGCAAAATCTGTACCACGGTAAAATGTCGTAAATATGTAAATTCTTATCTTTGCAGAGTTTCCTCTACTCTCAGTTATTGCACTTTGTCCTCTTGTGTTCTGACTTTATTTCCCGTTTTCCTGTAAACAGAAATAGGAAAAGATTTAAAGTAGTCATTTATCTAATTGTTGTAAAGCTTTACAAGTAATCTGTAATTGGCAAATGGCAGTTGGAGCGCGAGTAAAATAGCTTGTAGAGCGAATGGTACTTCAGACGCAAAATGAAGTTCTTGGTGGCAAAGAGGAGTATAACCTATTTTAAATACTTTTTCCACAAGACTTCCAAGAAATTTTCCTACGCAGTTCCTCTGTGCGTTAGGAATATCAATCACATCAAACGCACGTGGCTGTGTTGAACTTTGATGTGTACACAAGTCAATCCTTTTTCATACGAATTTCAGATCATGTCTTAATTAAAGGTAGTTTCACCCAAAATATAACCAGTCTTAGTTGTATCTTTAGAACACAATTGGTTGGTTTTTAATTACGAAAGAAATAGAGCAACTTTCTCCTGAGAACGGCACAAAGTCAGAGACGAAGCTTCAAGCGATCCGTAAGCGCACGTGTTAAGAAAGTTTGGTTATTTCGACTGCAGTTTGGGGAAATAAAATTGAAACCAATAATTTATACGAAAACGAAACTCACCTATGAATGTAACAAGGTTGAGTCGTTTCGGCAGCTTTCAGACTTCAAGCAAACTTTTGGTTAAACTTTCCTGCACAGTAACCCGTCTTCGTCCATTCACAGGTAGTTTGGTTTGACACAAACTGTAACGTAGAACATGAATATGGATTAGGAAAATAAACCAATCACTGAAAAATGCGTTTGCACGCCCTTTTAGTATGTAAATGAGAGCCCAGGTAAAATAAAACCCACTTGCATGTTGTAATCGGTGGAAAGCTTGCATTAAAAAAAAATAATAATAAAAACCAATTCTAATAGGAAACGCTCTGGGAAGGTTAGCGGGGTTAAGAATACTACACAATCCAATACTAAAAATTTGGAGTCAGTATCAAGGAGTTATGGGAAATAAAGGAAGAAACAACAGAGAAAATACTTCGTGCAAAAAAATTGTCAAGGTTCCGTGGCGTATGGAATATCAAGGAAACGGAAACTTAAGCATTTTCTGGTTTGAAAAATTGGTATGCAGGCGTAAGACCGGTAATCTTACAACTTCTTTAACCCTCTACACCCTAACATCAGTATGCATATTCTCCATACTGTTCTCTTTTAATTTCCTAAGGTGCTGACAAGGAGAATTTATTAAACAATCAATAATCTCTTTAGTTGGTGATCATTTCCTTTATTCTCGTGACCTTGATGTGTGATTCAGGGGTTACAATGTACAATGTAAGGAGAAATTAGATGTTAGCCGTTCTAAGGGGCCAAAAGAGTAAAGAAACTATATTTAGAATATAGAAAGAAATAGAAAGAATACCCCAACATTTTCCCGGAAAAGAAATTTACTGACGATAGTTTCTGAGTACTCGACTCAGAGCAAAACGATGCACCAAAGCCTTTTGCTTTTAGTTAAGTTGTAGATGTTTCCCAGAATATGGCAAGCAGGCTGAAATATTTTGAAATCGTGATACATGCATTACGTTAAAAAGCAAAAAAAAAACATCTTCTCCTATCGCGATGCCGGAACTTGAGCTCAGAACAATTTGATCTAAAAGCTGGATTCACACCATTACGTCACAAACACATATGATCATTAACAGCTTCCTTATTTTGCTAACTAGCTGTCTTCGCCGACTATGAACTAAAAAAAAAAAAGTTTTTCAGGGTTTTAAGTAAATTGTACCAACTCCATAAATTTCTTAGTTTTTATCATGCTTGGATATAAAAACATTAGTCATGGAAAATAAAGGAGTTTATTAAAAAGCAGCATCTAAGTACTTTTTTCTGTTGAAGCATATTAAAAGAATAAAGGCTGATAGTTTCTAAAGAAACTGTTTGGGGCTGCGTCGGTGGGGGTAACGAAATAATTTGGATATATTAACAAAGTTGAAATGGTAAATTGGCCACCGCAACGATTACAAAAGCTGACGTTTCGAGCGTTAGCCCTTCGTCGGAGCGAATAGAGGAATTGTGGGTTGTG